TCCGACGCACTCAAACGATGGATACAAGTGATAGACATGTACGACTATCAACTTGATCCAATCAAGGGTGAGTACAACAAAGTAGTTGATGCACTATCTCGTCGGGCATATTATATGGGCGCACTAGTGACTGAATTTGGTATATCCAACGACTTAACTCAATCATTGGTGGAAGCCTATCAGCAAGATCCAGTTATGTCTGAGATCATCCGTAGATTTCAAACAAAGGAGAAAAAAACTTTGGATGAATTTACGATGGTAGACGCCTTGCTGTTTCTTGAGAAGGCAGGGAATAAAAGATTATGTGTGCCTAGTAGTGAGTCTTTGCGTAGTTTATTTTTAGGGGAATGTCATGATGCAACTGGTCATTTTGGTTATAAAAAGACTTCAGCTAATCTAGTGCAGAAGTTCTGGTGGCCCACTATGATGCAAGATGCGAAAAGGTATGTTGAAACCTGCCAGGTTTGCTCAGGCTCCGCTTGGGCTCATCAAGCCCTTGCCAATTCCTGAAGGTCCTGGTCAGAGTGTGTCCATGGATTTAATGGATACCCTTGTGACCACCAGGTCTGGAAAAAGACACATCTTCGTGATAGTGGACCGCTTTTCTAAGTATGCAAGACTAATCGCTATGCCAGAAACTGCTAAAACCGACTATGCCATCAAACTGTTTCTGGATAATTGGGTCAGGGATTTTGGACTACCTACGTCGATAATAAGTGACCGGGATGTGAGGTTTACCAGCGAACTGTGGCAAATGACAGCTGAACAGATGGGTACCAAGCTCCAAATGCCGTCAGGGAATCACCCTGAGTCAAATGACCAGACAGAACAGATGAACCGGGTAGTACAACACCTGCTTCGACATTATATTAAGCGAAGTCAGGGTGACTGGGACGAGAAGTTACCTCTCGTCGCCAGCCTGTACAACAATGTTGTGCACAGTACTACTAGTATGACTCCCAACCAGCTGCGTCCTGGTTGGAAGCCCGGAAGTGCACTTGACTTTCTGCTACCAGAAAGGCAACCCACTGCAGCACCTGGCAGCATAGAGTTTGACGTCAAGTATGAACAGATGCTGCAACAGGCCATTGAACATATCAGGAAGTCTCAAGATGCTATGATCGCATCTGAGAATAAACATAGACGGCCCTCTAACTTTCAGATAGGTGATAGAGTCTGGGTAAAGACATTTGAACTAGGTTAGGAGATGGGGATTTCACGAAAACTTATGCCACAGTACTTTGGGCCCTGGGAGATCTTAGACATTGTAGGGGATCAACCGGATGGGCCTTCATACGTGATTCGCATGCCTCCACACCTGCGTTCTTACCCTGTTTTCCATGCATCCAAGCTGGCACCTTTCGCTGCCACAGATCAGTTTCCCTCCAGGAGACCAATGCTGCCCCCAACCATGGATGGCAAAGTGGACATAGACCAGATCGTGGAACATCGTCTGATGCCAGTTCCTCGACCACCGGGCAGAGGCCGCCCTCCTAAGCCAAAAATGCAGTACAGGGTCAGATTCAGACATCATCTGGACCCCAGCGAAGATCGATGGTTCACCAGAGAAGAACTCGTGAGAACTGCACCTCAAGTCATTGCAGGCTATGAAAGAGATCTTAAAGGGAAGATGCCTGCAGAATAGAAAACTTCTCAGAGGACTATCGAAGTACAGGAGGAGGGAATGCAAGGATATGGGTCCTCGGCAGGCCTAAGGGGCGCCTGCAGCATTTGTCCCCGCCCTAAGTGAAGGCGGGCCTAACAAATCACGAGAGGCTCTTGGGTGTCAATTTCACATTTGGGGTCCAGGCAGTTTTGTCGCGCCAGTTGGCTGAAGGGAAACACAGGCCGAGCAGCATGGAAATTCCCAGGCCTTCTAGGCCTTTCCGAAAGCACAGGCCCTGGGCGAGATTCGCAGCCTCATACACAGACAGTTGGGAGGCCCAACCGAATGAGGCCCAGTAGTTGCACCAGAGGCGCAGCATCCTGGGGCCTACCGGAAGCTTCTGGGCCCAGGCCAGTCGAGCAGGCTGCCAAACGAGGCAGGCTCTTTCCATATAGGAAAGAGCTCGCTGCCTGGCCAGTCATTCAGGCACTCGCATGCTGGCGGCAGCACTGCTGGACTTGAAGCTCATGGGCTGCTGCTAGTGCTGAGCGGCGAGGTGCAGGCACGTGCGGTCGTGCAGGGAGCAGGGCGCTGCTGAGGGCAGCGCCATAGCCCAGCCTCCATAGCTGGCAGGGCTTGGATGTACAGTGAGGCGCAGGGGTGGTCTTCGGGTGTACAACAAAGGGAGACGTGGGAGAGAGTCAAGGCGGAGAGAGAAGGATGATGATGATGATGATGTGAGGGCACATACCTGGTATTGGCGATGGTTCTGCATGGGCGACATCTTCAAGGGTGCTGCTGACGTCAACAGTTGCATTGTCAATTAGTAGGCTAGTAGTAGTTGTGTAGGGAGTAGGCTGGGCGCCGAGCGCCAAGTAGGGAGATAGAGACTGGATACATATGTTCGTGGTGGCGAGAGCAAGCTCTCATTGACATTGACTTTCAGTGCTACGATTCTCCATTGGTGTAATATTGGTGCAATGCTGCTTCCTCAACAGTGTGTTACGATTTGGCTTTCAATGTGATTGTGCAATCTGAATATTATCATCTCGCTTCTGTTCATTTTCCTTGCTCATACCCTTTTTCTTTACTTAAAAAGAGGCATATTGCCTTTAGGAATTTCCCTAAGGTTGTACTCGCATATGCACTTACGCATCAGGAAACTGTGGTTGCCAAATTTTTGCTTGCAGACTCCCAAAAGGGGGAATAAACCAATTGTCTTGACTTGGGCAGTTATGACTTACTGGGAATGAAAAAAAACTATCCTCGCATCATCTACACAAAAAAGATACGAAAGCGAACTGAAAGGGTTTCACCCAGTTCGCAGGACAATTGCAGATCCCAGGGATCGATCCCTAGACCTATCCCTGAACCCCTGTACAGCTACCCGATCGATCCCTAGACCTATCCCTGAACCCCTGTACAGCTACCCGTTGACCCTGTGTGTCTTGAACCCGCAACCTGTCCCTCAACTCGTGTACAGACATTTTACGCATGTAGTGTGGACTTGAGCCGTAGACCTACAGGTTAGTAGTCTTAGGGTCAGTCCTATAGGTTAGTCCTAAGTGTAGCGAAGGGTCAGTCTAGAAGCTACTACTTGGCTCTTCGGTGCTGTAAGGGTCAGTCGCCGTAGCTGAGTCACCCAGGTGGAGTCTTGTCCTAGCCTAGTCAGCAGTCCCAGTCCACCTTATCTAGTCAGCAAGTACCAGGTGGGGCTGCGCACTCCTTGGGCCTGGGACCGGAGGCAGGCCAGACCACCAACGAAACAGTATAAATAAAGAGGCAGCGCCAAGCCATTCATTCATTCACCTGTGAGCCATGTGGAAGCGCTGTTTATGCGACTTGTGGTCTGCAGGTGCCCGACGAGGGAGAGGGCGAGCGGCCATAGCCACTAGTGGAGGAGGAAGACGACGGAGGCCATAGCCGCCCAGACATCAACAGATAGAGCATAGTGTGTGTGTGTGTGTGTGTGCGTGGACATTCAGGGTAGATCCTATGCATGTGTGCATGTGCGTGAGTTGTGTGAGAGTCTGGTGGTGGAGACAGTTTTTGAAGGGGGGTTCAGGATAGCGCTCAGCGGCCATAGCCGCTAGATGTGACAAGCTGAGTTCCTGTCCTAAGGCCATATTTCTGAGTTTTCTGTGTGGGCGCAGCACGCCAGCGCAGGTTTGTTGCTGATTCTGCGTTGACGAAGTTGTGTTGCCATCGGCACCTACATGTACGCATGTTGCGAGTGAAATTGAGACAATTCTGATTGCAGAACCATAAAAGAGCCTTATGGTCGTGGCTTTTTTGCATTCTGGAGAGCATCTGGGTGGTTCCTTCTCCTCAGCTCACAGTTTGGATACCTTACGAAGAGGAGTCACAGTGTGGATTACCTAATGAAAAGGGAGCCATAACTTGGACACACACGCATGCACACAGCACCCATTTTGTCTCTCATCTTGGCATTTGCTATATCACAACGAATCCGGCTACTTCATAAGGAAAAAGGGGAGCAAGAGAGAGGAAGGTGGGAAGGAGAGCAGACGCAGACTCTTCGACCTCATTTGATATTGAGGCTAAGAGAGATCCAAGAACCCCCGTTGCAAGCGTTCACTGAAAGCAATGAATCTTGCTACTTACATGTGGGGCAGAGTACCGAGAACCTCGTGAAGTTTGTTTTTCCTCTGTTCTATTCCTTGACCCTTCACTTCCCTCCTCTTCCCCTTCTCCCTCCCCCCTTCCTCTCTTCCTGTAGAACTCCTCCCTCTACCCCTTTCCTTCCTCTCTCCCCTTGTGTATGACTACCAAATGTATACCAGTGAGCATCATTAAGAGAATAGACAAAATACAAACTGAAGATTTGAGGAAAAATGAACAGGAGTATACCTCCCCCTCTTTTCATAGCGTGCAAGTGGGCCGTTATGGCACATGGGGATATGCGGCAGCTTGTGCTCACGCACAATCAACGTGGCAAGCCTTGTACGTTAGAGGCACAGCAAAAGGGAAGCTGCAATAAGAAATAAGAGGGGTACCCCAAAGGAAGCCTAAGTAAAGATAGCGAAGATAGGATTGTACAAGGAAAAGGCAATATAATGGATTTTTGTGCTGTGTATTGTTTGGTATAGAGGTAAAACTGTTTCAATGTTGGATTTACGCATCTCTAGTGTGCTTCATTGTCTGCTGCTATAGAGGTAAAACTGCTTCCATTGTGGATCTACTCATCTGAGTGGAAGAGAGGCTGTTGTGGGGACAATTTACAACACAGAGCAGAGGAGAGAGAGAGAGAGAGAGAGAGAGAGAGAGAGAGAGAGAGAGAGAGAGAGAGAGAGAGAGAGAGTATTGGGCCCTAATGTCTCTCCCTTTGAGGCCTTGCTGGCTGATAACATGATGATACGTTATGTTTGTACAGGTCTACTTGCTTGAGAAGCTTCGCTATGGCCACAGGCTGGTCGGTCCTGTCATCATTATGAATGGCAACAGCACGGTATGTTTCCTTTTTTTTTTTTTTTTTTTTTTTTTTTTTTTTTTTT